AAAATATTTTTATTCAATAATAAGCTACCCACAAAATTTTTGTATAACTTTTTGGCCAAAAATAGTAGCTTATTTTCGGACATATACAGTAAGTACTGAAGAAATTTAGCATATATTAAATCATAAGGTACTAGATCCAAATATACTATTAGAATTATTAAAATGAGTTTTTTTCTAGATTTTTATACTTGGTGCTACTAGAGATGGTAAACATGCTAACTTGCATTTATAGCAAATTGTGAATACACCAAATAGTATTATTTTTAGAAAGACTCAACAAAAAAATGACCAAGGAGAAATAGATGGAAGCCAGTTTGATTTAACCATACTTTTTTTATCTGATCTACCAAATACCATAGAACCAAATTTTGATATACAAAAATATATTTCTTTGCGTCTTAAAAACTCCAAATACTCAAATTTTTATCTTACTCCTTCTCGAAGTTCAAATGATACTATAATATTTATATGTTATTTTATATGTATACAGATTTTTATATTTAATACATAAAACTAATAAATTATTAATTAAGATATTGTTAAAGGAAATTGGTATTTGGATAAAGCATTAGCTAATCATATGATCTGTTTATTTTTTAAATTAATCTGCATTAAATGTGGAATAAATATAGAAAAGAGAAATATCAATAATCATTCAGGTAGAAGAACAAATATTATAGAATTATTTAGTATTGAAATATCTGAAAATACCAGTCATACAATTAGTAGACACAAATCTTTTGGTAGATATTATGCTTATGCAAAATCTACAGATGATTATAAAAGAGAAGCATTAGCAAATATCTTTAATAAAATAATTACTACTCTATCTCCATCATCTACTGAAGCATTTCAAGATTCGATTAATGATTCTGATTTTGAAGTTGATGATTATGAAGACTTACAAAATAATATATCTGAAGATGATAACAATATATCTGCATAGGTAATATTTTAAGCTTGTTAGGCTTTGATAAATTTTTAATTAAAAAATAATTTATTTTTGCTAAATTAAAAAAAAATAGATAATAAATGAACATGAATTTTATGAAAATTTTCATATAGCAAATGAACTTTTAAAAAATACTAATAATAAGTCTCAAAAATATAGATCCAATTTTACTAGTAATAAAAACAAATGATTATATAGTTATAAAACTATAACAATTGTTAAAAATACTATAACAATTATATATTTAATAATAATTAAAAATTGATGCATGTAATTAATTGTAATTAAAATAATAAATATTTAAGTCTAATTAAGGCCTTCACTCAATACAAGCAATTTTAAAAAATTTTTAATATCGTTAAATTTTTTTTATAATTACATTTTAGCTATATATAACGTATTTTACTTATTTATGTAATAAATTGTAAATATTATAAAATGGTATAAATCCAAATAACTAATAACAGTTTATAATTACAAAATCTATCAATAGTAAATACTAGATAAATAAAATTATATAGTAATATTATAATATGTAACTAACTAAAAAAATTAACTGAATATTTAGTATATTTAATATTAAATAATATTAATTACAAAACATATTCTGATAGTTGCTATTATTTATGAATCAAATGAGTTGACATACTAAATTTTATATATAAATTTTTACAAAAAAATTATTAAAATTTAATTTATTCAAGAAAATATGTATTAATCTTTTTTTAAATTTTAAATATATATTTTTTATCATTTTATAATCTTTTTTTAAAAGTTTTGTTTCTTAACTACTAGTAGTTCAAAAAAAATTTTTACTAAAGTTGAATAATTCTTTATTATATTTTTTAAGTCAAAAGACTGACTCATCCAAAGCAATTATATGAATAGTTAAAATAATCTTTTAAAAATTTAAGAAAATTTTATTAAGAAAGGCTTTTTCTGTTTCTAAATAAAGTTGTAGAAAAGATTTTTCTGATTTTAATAGTAGTTAGATCATTAAAATTAGTTTAGTAGATTCCAAGATACTTGGATTAAAGGTACGAATATAAAGATCTGCAAATTAGTAGTTATACAAAGTATTATTATAATAATACTTCATATACTATATGTTTCTGAAAATAAGCTACATTTAAAAAAAGCTACCTTCTTTTTTTGAAAAAAAACTATAAAAACTTCTTATATCTAAAAATAAGCTACTATATAATTATCAGTAGTTATTCTATAATAAAATCAAAATTTTACTAAGTAAATCAACATAGCTTATTAAGTAAAAGTTGTTCAAAAGATCAAAATATATATATTTTAAAAGTTTTATGCAAATTGGATAATTTTTTATTAATATATTTTTGCATGTTATGTTCAACAAAATTTTTAAAATTTCTTTAAAATTTCTTTGAAATTCATATTTGTTGAATGTAAAAATCAAAAGTCAATTAATAAAAAGTTATCTGATTTACTTAAAATTTTCAGAATATATATATTTTGTTCTCTTGAACAAACTTTACTTAATACATATTATCAATTTATTTAATTGCTGATTTGGATAAGATCAGCAGAATTTCTATATTAGAAATTGAGTCAAAATTCCTATAATATTAACTATATGCTTCAATCTGAGTGGAGTTAAATAAAAAGTATTTTTTTTATTAAGTTAATGATACATATCAATTAATTAAAAGTTGTAGAGCTC